TCCCCACGGTGTGTTGATTGTTGTCAAGTAGCGAGATGCAACATTGAGTGGAATCTGTAAGTATGCGTCCGCCAAATCGATCTTCGAAAAATACTGGCACCCATGCAATGACTTCATGAAATCCTCTGATTCCATGGTGTTCGCTACACATCTCCGCAATCGGGGATTCAACGTCAGTCGATAGTCTCCACAGATCCGTGGTGTCCCACCATCACTTTTCATCGCCACGACGATCGGGGTCGGCCAGGCACTGGATTCAACTTTGTTTATCACACCATCCTGCTCCATTTTCTGTAATGCTTTCAGGACACCTCTCCGTTGACCGTATGGGAGGACGAGTCGTTTTAGGATAATAGGTTCATCGTCCACTTCCAACACTACCGACGGTACTTTCAAGCCACCAACGCTACCGGAACACTGTACAATCAAATGTTGAAGATGTGAGGTGATTGGCATATCGTTGTTGGTGTGTAGTGTGATGGATCCTTGTAGTAGCCGCATCGCTCGAAGGCCCAGAATAGACGGACTGTGGGCTGATACCAGGAATCGGATTGGAATTGATAGGCCGGATTCAGATTGAACACGCAACATCGTTTCACCAAGTAATTGCAACTGATGGCCAGTAACCCCATGAATGCGCAGAGAAGTCGGGGCTAGAACAGCATTAGGATAGATCGCATTGAGTGCTGATTTCGGTAGGATTGATTCGCTGCTTCCTGTGTCCATGATCAATCGATGCTCCACACTAGACTCGAACCTCAGTGGGGCGAACTCAAAATGGCCGTTGGGTTCAGTGGTCTGCAGCGTGTAGATTGGGCTTCAGTTCTCATCTTCCGTTGGGATATGGGAGTCGATGAGGTTGCACTTGGGCATACCTTGAAGATATGGCCCATCTTACCGCATGCACGGCAAGTGGCATTACAGAACCGGCAGGTCGAACGAATGTGGTCCAGTAATAGGAATTTCAACTTCTCGAACGGCAATTCAGCAGGAACATGCGGGAACGCTAAATTCTTCATTATGTAATACAGCTCTGGATAGGATCCTCAGGATCATTGAAATAAATGGTGCATGACGTCTGTGGGTCCTAAACAGTTGCGTTCGTGTATTTTATCAATTTTCTTGCCATCTTAGTTTATGGAAATTCTCCATTTTCTCTTCAGTTGTACTTTCAGTTGTCCTATCTTCGTCCTAGTGCTTCATCCAAATAGGCAGCTGAAAGACAGCAACCCCAACCGACGCACGACAGTGCATAATTATGGGTTGTACAAAATGAAACTGAAGGCTTTTTATATATCTATCACTTCACATACTTTGCGTATAGGTATTCACATTAGAAGCCAGACATGGAGATGCATATCATGTCACCTGTGTGATAAACGTGCTCGAAGACAAGTGAACTCAGCCGGTGTTGTCTTGCTTGAAGGCTATCGTTTACACACACACACACACACACACACACACACACACACACACACACACCTTAATCACTAATGTGGTTCAGGTGAGTGGTGCAAAACATCTGTTGCATGAATACGCGGTATGCGTTTGTGTGAGATAGAGAGGGGAAGGGCGTGAGTTCTGTCAGAGTTAGCAGATCAGATACCAGTGTATGGAACATCTGGCGTGCACCCAGAAATCACAACCCGGTCAGTGGTTCATACTGAATAGCTGGGACGAAATCGAGCTGTGAAAGAACGAGATTTTTCCAGTCACGGATACTCCACCAGTCCGGTGCCAGACTGATCTTATCAAGCAATGCATTTGAATTTAGTAAGGTGGTGGCTGTAATGGATAAGCGGTGCGTGTGGGGATGATTGCAGTCCAACTTTCGCTAACGACTTTCAGGATGGGTATAAAGTGATAGGTAACAAGTGTCCTCAGTTGTTCGTATGTCAAAAGCAGTGAGGTGGTTTGATCTAACCAGATAGCAAGGATGTTTCAGCCAAGTGTTTTCACATGGACAAAATAACCGTAAACGATGGCAACAGTACAAGTGCATCTTAAGTCTCATGGTGATTTTTTTCATCGACAGAGTTCAGAGGTTGGTTACAATATGGAATTCCAAGGATATATAAAAAGCTTCATGTTCCGTCGAACACTTCTCATTGTTTGTCTGTGAGAATTCACAAATCCAAAGGCCGGTGTGTGTGTGTGTGTGTGTGTGTGTGTGTGTGTGTGTGTGTGAAGTCTGTACTTGTGTGAACCTTCTCCACAGGATATCAAATTTCAAACACACAAACAAAGTGCGCTCTGAGGATGAGCCCCAATAACAATAAAACTGTTGTCCAATTATCTTCCCGGTCTCTGATCTGTTTGCCGACCACGAACGATTCCTTCAGAGCACCAAAAGTGCAAACATCCCAAAAGCCTGACGATTCACGTCCAGCTCCGTCTCTCTCTCTCTCTCTACTTATCTTATTTAGCCTTGGTACCAAATGACTTACTGATTACCACAAGGGCACATCTTAACAACCAGTCTGAAGAAAATCTCTTTTTCCAACCCAACGAGTGCCACTGACAAGACATGTTGACAGACTATTCACGGCCCTGATAACCACGAAGCAGAACAAGTGTAACAGGTTTGGTAACTTGCCATTCAGTTCGATTATAAGTCGTGTTCAATTTTCAATGGACATGTAGTTTCATGCAGTTTGCATTTTCCCTCTAATGTAGATTGTCACTTGACCCTCCCCACAGAGGACCTCGTGTTCGTCGACTCACATTCGGTTTTCTCATGATTCCATTAATGGAGAGATCCCTCCGCCCCCGCCCCCCCACACGATGCCTAGCAGACTGTACAAGCTCGAATTGAAAATTGATTCCGTGCATCTGTGTGCGTCTGTGCACAAGGAAAGAATTTAGCGACGGGGTTATTCACGTGCTCATGGCTTGACGGCGGCTAAGGCCAACAATCCCTTAATGAAAGCTAGTTAGCTGCGGGTAACGCTGACCAAAATTGTTGCAATTGTCGAGTTTAAAAAACGAGCCATTGATTAGCATTAACCAGTGTTCATATTTTATAAATGCGGAAAAAGTACACACTGCTAGCGAGTCCCAAACAGGACGAAACAGCTGCCCATGGCTCTTTGTCGATCATCAAAAACAACTCCATCTCATTTTAAAATGTATAATCAACTGGCAACATTAACTGCCACGTCTGAGATGCTTCCAAAATGAAATTAAGAATTGGAGACACGCCGCAATGACAGATTTTTGTTTTCATATTATTGTAATCACACGAGATCCATGGATGGAACGGATCTCACTGAAAAGCTTGGGCGTCATGCTCATGATTATTGAGGAAATTAGCTTGTCTTAGCCACAACGAATGAAAACCGAAACACAAATGCGTTGGTGCCAACGTTTCGACCCTCTTGGAAGGCCTTTTTCAAGTCGTTTAATCGTTGTCACCAACGCCTTTGTGTTTTGGTTTTCATTCGTCGTGGCTAAGACAAGCTAATTTCCTCATATTATTATACTTTGTTATATTTTTGTTTTCATCATATGATGAATTTCGTTGCGCATAGAGCGAATGAAATGTGAACTGAAAAGCTAAAAAAGCTATACAGTTGTTGACCAGGGGATCGAACCCGAGACCCCACACGCAGAAGTCAAACATGCTACCCGCTCGGCCACTGGTCATGCCTTTTTTATTTTCGTTATACGTGATAACACAACCCACCTTCGTGAGCCTAATGTAGGTAGTTTATGACTCATTTGGAAACATTCCAATCCGCTCACAAGGCGAAAATCATTTTATGGTGAAGTGAAATCCTCCATTTTTCTCATGTAATATTTTTGTTTCTCTCGGATTGCACAGGGCGGATAAGATAATCTGATTTAGTGGATTCAAACATAAACAGCTCAAACAGAGAGAGATTTGTAAACAATGGACTTGCATGGAGTAATCAAAAGATTACGCAACGAATAAACACGTGATCTGACACAGGATGTGATCAGTAAAATGAGTGGATTAACGTGGGGAGAATTCTGACTGGATAATCCGATTAACAATGGGGAATATCCGGGGTAATGTGTGTGGATGGGCCGTCCGAAGTGGATCGCCATTTTCCTTGTGTAAACAATGATCCTAGATAATCATTGCTTCTTCCATCCTCAGTATTGACCCAATAAACCATATAGCAAACACCCGATCGGTTGACCTTAGACCTCTGCTCATGTTAATGCCTAGCATTCACCAGTTATAAACCAGTAGGCACTAGGACAGCGGTTTCATGAATCGTATAGCCTCGTTTAAATTTCATCGCATGTACCATTCCATTTAACCGAACTGGATAGACCTGCATTTGTAATCAGCTTTTCATTGATTCCATGTGGCATAACTGCCTTTAGGTTGTGTTCGAACTCCCTTCTTCTCCCGTCAGATGTATCGCTAGTCGACAGTGTATATGAAATAAGATGAAAGCGAAACAACAGTTTTACTTAAGGTAGATCACCCCCACATGCACCTTCATTACTATTTCTGAAAATCTAAACGGCAACCAAAAGAAAAACCGGAAAACCAAATTTTATCAAATCACTTTTTATTTTAAAGAAAATATACTGAAGAGAACAGAATTTTCACCATGACAAAAGTATTGCACCCCCCCTCTGAAATTTGCCTAGTGAGGCCAATTTAATACTACCTGCATGAGCCAGTTCGGTTAAAAACTTCTGCACACAGTTTTGGCTTACTTTCTGCATAGGAAATCGAATCATGTCCGTGTCGATATTATTCCACTCCCTGTTCAAGTATGCCTCTAATTCGTGCGTTTTTCTGCAAACTCTGGCGTGCTGATGCACTATTCGGGAAGGAATGGCCCTAATATTTTCTATCCGGTTGAAATCTGGCCTGCGTGAAAACCACATCACAACGATCAAATAACTAGCAATCTGTTAGATATGAGATATGAACTGCGGCCTTATCACGAATCAAGCCGATAGGGTGTGTAGAAGTTTTGAGCTGGATTGATCAATGCCCTTGAAATTAAACGGGCTTCACCGGATTACTTATTTGGGGGTGGGGATGAAGGGGGACAAAGCATTTCGTCTCGAGAAAATTTTGTTCTGTCAGATATATTTTCTTTAAAATCAAAGATAATTTGTTGAGATTTCCTACTTGGGATTTTCATTCGGTTGTTGTCTAGGTTATAAAAATGATAATGATCGTGTATGTGACAGAGGAGATAATCCATAAACCTAGGGGGTAGTGCAATTTAATTGTCATGGGTTATATTGCACTTTTCTTGATGATTTCGGAGTAGAGATCTTATTATGAACAGCAAAAGCTAGGGTAGATTATGTCAACCTCGAACATCTACGGTCCCGCCTTGTTATTCAACTTTCCCTCGAAGGCTGGATGTACATTGCCACGATTCCCACGATGTGCTTTACCATCTCCAAATCTGGTGTTTCCGCACTGAGGATTCTAATCAAGTTTCTGCATTCGATCA